CTTCTTCCTTTTTTTTTTCCCCCGTGTTTTTTTTTTTTTTTTTTGCCAATGGTGCCAAGTAATGTGAATGCTAATATTGCTTAAGAAAATTAAGTTACTTTTGCAAAGCAGATAATCATAAGAGTACAAAAAACGTATCTAGCTTAACACCATACACTCACTCCAATAAAGAACACTTAGAAAGAAAATAAAATGAAAAAAAAAAAAAAAAAAAAAAGAAATAGTACGAAAGTAGAAAATATGTTTCACATTTTCATATCTCCTGCTGGAAGTCAGAAAATGTAATAAAAATTTCACAAAAAATTTTAAAAAATTAAGTAAAACTTAAAAAAAGATGCAAACTGATCTTGTAGGGGTGTCATGGTATATTGCTATTTCCACATAGTGAGGAGCCAAAGAAATTAGATTGTTTTAAATTGAACTACTAATTTAAAACTGTCACAAATTCTCGACGATGGGAACCAGATTCTGATCTTTATTACACAGGAATGTAAGGGAAGAAACTCCAGACGTCCGTGTCGTTACTGTGGGTTATGTACATGTGTCTGAGATCGGAAACTGCTCCTATGTGTTTGTTTTGCGCGTGGCAGTTTAAAATGTCTGAATGAACTGGTGTCAATTTGAAAGTGTTAGTTTTGGAAAAGTTATTCTTGCTTGATCCCGGCCACCAACTGCAATGTTCAAACGCAAGGCTTGTTGTGAAGCCCAAATATATTCACACATAAGAAGCTTTTAAACTGGTGTCTTTAAAAGAAGAGTAAAAACAAAGATTGTGGCAAAAAAACTGGGGTCAGTGCTCTTGGTGCCTTTTCTATAATTGTACCTGTTTTTAATTACTTCTTTTCACTGCCAGCATTGAATTACAGTAGATGTGCTATAGCTCATTATTGGAATTCTCTTGTACATTTCTGAACTGCTGCTTTATGACCTGATTCAATTTAAAAAAAAAAAGGAAATAAAGAAAAATGAATGGCCTGGTGCTCACACTGTGCCTGTGGGCAGCCTCATAGCCTTGATTTACCATATGGAATTGGGATCTTAACCATTAAATTTTCCTCTTATGCAAAAACGGAACAGGAGGTGCCAAAGAATCTCCTTTGGAATGAATTGGAAATGCTCTGTATTAATACTGGAAGAAGTCTGACGTTTTGAAATGGAAATGTTGCTCCCATTAACCAATACGTGACAATATAGAATCAACCTTTTCCTAACAAGAGTAGTGACCTCAGTGGAAATGTACAGAAAATTATTCAGTAATATACAGAGCTATTTCAAATTACTCTTCCAGATCCATGGGCCTGGTGGTGTATCTACTAATCTAGATCCTGCTTCAGCCAGACGTTTAAGCATGTACTTGCTGTTAAACATGCAAGCAATTCCATGGGTGCAACAGAACTACTTGCATGCTTGAAGCTAAGTACAGCTTCTAAGTGCTTTGTTGTGTCGGGCCATAACCCTTCAGCGTACCACTGGGGAGTCAGAAAGACTCCTCCCGCAGCGAAGTGATTCTGCTCACCCTCTTCTTGGTTGTGGAACTTACATTTTCACGGAAGATAAGTAAGTGTAGCTTTCCGGGAAAATTCGAATTCCCAAGTGCCAGGAGCCAGATCTTCTGTCTTCTGATAATGGAATTGCTCCTTTGTAAAACACATTCGACAGCAGTAATACTGTGTGAAAGAAATACAGAATATAACATGAACCCCCTCTCTGGTTGCACGCTTATGGCAGTTCCACACAATAGCTGGTGCCCAATGGGGGGTCCCCAAGACTTGCATGTAAAACTAGTATAGATGTCTTCTCTTTTGTAAGTTTTATTTTTGTAACCGTGCATGTAAAGCATCACTGAATCAATGGATCTGTTGAAGAACTCAGCTGCTGGAACCATGCAAAATGTTTTGAATTGCCCTTAAAATATGGAAAATGTTTTCTGAATGCTTTATATTCTTTCTGCTGTAAATTAAAAACAAAGAAAATTTCCCCATACAAAGTGTATGCTTTTTTTAAACACGTCTCTTCCATCCTAGTTTAAGAGTGTGATGTAATCCTTTAGTCACTGTAAGTAACCATGAAACGATGTGTTTTTTCTACTGCAGGACTTGCTTGTAAGTAGCATCTAGTTTGTTACGGGTCATGATCTGAACAGTCCACAGCTTACCCGCCAGCAGGTGTGCGGCCCGTGGAGCGTGCTGGGATCAAGTGCAGCAACCCCGCAGTCCCTGCATCTGCAGCCCTTTCTGCTGCTGTATTCCAGTGCATAACCTTTGGTGTGTCAAGCAACAGGTCTGAGAGGAGCTCTCTCAGGCAGCAAACTCTTCCGGGTCTCCTGCTG